ACCGTGCCCGAGTTTCGTGATGTCTTCAGAGCTCTCTTGAGGTCGCTGAACCTGGAACGGCACGGATATCAAATATATTCCTTGCGCCGTGGAGGTGCCACCACTCACTATAGAAGATTCGAGAACATGGGCTTGACCTTGATAGTTGGGAGGTGGCAAGATACCGCTGTGGCCAGACTTTACATCAGTGACAGTGTGCAAACTTTGCTTCAGAACGACTTCTTGCCTGCAGAATTGGAACGATTTCGTGTACTGGCGAGTGCTCTTAACTTCGATGTGGGATGAGAGAGTGAAAAGAGGGAGCAAAATATCTGAGCAGCTTCGCTGTCAGCATTTTCCGGGCCCTCCCCACCCGTCCCTGGGGAAATAATGGCGGTAAACCAGAAACGGGTGCATGGAAAGGGGTCCCGGGGGGGGTTCGGACACGCGTCGCGCGCTGCCGCCCTCACCCGAGGGGGTTCGGACTCGCGTCGCGCTGCCGCTCCCGGTTAACTCCGAGGGTTCGGACTCGCGTCGCGCTGCCGCCCCTGGCCAGGCTTCGGAGTCCCAAGAGGACATGGGGGGGGGTCTCCGCTGGCAGCCCCCCTGTAGCACAAAACCCCTGGTGAGAGGAGTAAAAAGGAGAGGGACGAGGAAAGGGGACACAGAGATAAATATCCTTGAGATTCTCATGGGTTTTATCTCGTCCCCCCTCCGTCCTCGAAACGATCTCCTCTAAACCGCCTCTCCGTAGCCGCCTCGGCCCCGCCCTGACCCTGCCCGAGCCGAGTTGGCTAAAAGATGTGCCGACTTCGAGCCATCTGAGGATGCGCTGAAGCCGTCCCAGCAGGAGTTGGAGGGCTCGAAAGGGGTCCCGGGGGGGGTTCGGACACGCGTCGCGCGCTGCCGCCCTCACCCGAGGGGGTTCGGACTCGCGTCGCGCTGCCGCTCCCGGTTAACTCCGAGGGTTCGGACTCGCGTCGCGCTGCCGCCCCTGGCCAGGCTTCGGAGTCCCCAGAGGACATGGGGGGGGGTCTCCGCTGGCAGCCCCCCTGTAGCACAAAACCCCTGGTGAGAGGAGTAAAAAGGAGAGGGACGAGGAAAGGGGACACAGAGATAAATATATATATATATATATATATATATATATATATATATATATATATTGTATTGTTCCACTTCGACTGCACAGCGAAAATGGCTAGAAGCACACGTTTTGGGTCCCACGTTGGCCATCATTCATTAATTTTGAACATTGTATGATTCTCATGAAGATTCGTGAGGCTTCGAATGCCAGGATGGTCGGTCCCTCCTCAACAGGAGGGAGATCGGCGACCGAAGCTGGTACGAAACAAATAAGTACGGAGACCGACTGAAGATCTTGCCCGTTTAAAAAAAAAGGGTTTGTCGGTGTCGCCGCGGACGTTGTCCATTTGAGACGGGAGGCCGCCCGCACAACAGCGGCCGTTCTCGGTTTGGGACAAGATTCGCTGTTGTCGGGTTTGGACAACATTCGCTGTTCGGGCACTTGGGAGGCATCAGGCAGCGCACCGAAGTTCTAGGCCTCCCAAATGTGGTCGAGGCAGATGGGGTCGGAGGATCGCGCCGTGTCGCCGATGCACTGGCGATGCGGCTCGATGTGGAGTTCGATTTTCCCCACTCCAATTGACGTCGCCGATGCATCGCCGATGAATCGGACCCCACCCGGAGGGCCTCCACCCGTGCCTCTGCCCTCAACCTTCTGGGGATTGCGTGGTGGAAAAGAGACGACGTCGCATGTCTGGGGAGGTACCGATGCCGGTGCCCTTCCCTCGTCGCCACGGCTGGATTCGTTTCGGAATCTTGGTCAGAGCGTGCCCCAGAGGGGTCCGCGGAGCAGCGGCCGGGGCATCTCTCTGCTGCCTCAGGTGGTGGGCGTGCTGCTGTGCAGCGTGTCGGTGCCGAAGGCCTGACGTACAGGGCCGACGTATGTCGATGTGCTTTCTTGTCAGTCGCCCTCGGGCGGTACTGAACATTTCCCTCTTGTCATTTCCTCGGCAACGCCCTGGACCGTGGTTTCCTTACATCGAGCTCCGCCCCTTCAGGGACTTATGTTTCCTCGCTGTGCACGCGCTCCGGCATTCGTGTACAAGGACTTCACGTTCTCAGCGTGCTCACCCCGTTTCCCGCGCTCTCCTTCTCCTCCCGCCGCCCGTTGCGCCCAATTCGGCCGCGTGCGTCCCGCGTGTGCCTTCGAACGCGGGGGGGATTCGCTGCTGCGACACGACAGTTTTGTCCTCATCTCCCATCTCCTTAGATGGGGTTATTGTTATTGCTTAGACGCCTCCAGACCAATTCCTTCTCCTCCTCCACCTATGTCCTTTTCGACATTCTCACTTCAGCCAGATACTCATACTCAGATCACTCACGCCCATCACGGGGTCCATCGCAGACGCACTCTTCCTGTCAGAGACTCAGCCCTATCACTGTCACATCGTCAGTCAGACTCACTCAGACTCTGAAACCCACCCAAGCAATCAACATCAGACGCGCTCTCACCCATACAAATGCAGATTCCTGATTCAGACTCAGTCAGACCTTTCTGGTGGTCCACTGCTCGCTGCGATATAGCAGGCGTGGCACTTGGGCACCCCAAGGGGGAGCCGCCAGGGTGGGGACATTCCAGGAGTCGCGCTCGAATTGGGGGGGGACTCTTAGGCGGTTTATTTGTTTCTGCCCCCACTCTTTTCTTTTTTGGTGGTCCAATGCTCACCGCGAGCGCGTGGCACTTGGGCACCCCAATGGGGGGAGCCGCCAGGGGTGGGGACACTCCATGAGTGGCGCTCAGATTGGGGGAATGTCTCAGGCGGTGTGTGGTCCAATGTTCATCGCGATATAGCAGGCGTGCCATTTGGGCACCCCGGGAGGGAACCGCCAGGGATGGGGGCACTCCAGTGCTCGCGCGTAGATTGGGGGGTGCCTCGGGCGGTTTGGTTATTTCTGCCCCCTCTGAGTTGTCTCTTTCGGCGGTCGGCTGCTCAACCTCCCCCCCTCCCGTGACGGGGGGGGGGGGTTCGAACCCCCTCCCCTCCCCTTCCCCTCCTCCCCTACTTCTCCTCTCTCCCTCTCCTCGGGCTGGCGCCTGCGTCGGCGGCGGCTGGCGGCAGCGGCGGGGGCGACGACTTTCTTTTCTGGGCCGGCGCCGGCGCCGCGGTGGTGGTGGTGGTGGTGGTGGTGGGTTGTGGTGGTGGTGGTGGTGGTGGTGGTGGTGGCGGTGGTGGTGGCTGTGGAGGTGGTGGTTTGTTGCGGTGTGGTGTGGTGGTTTGTTTTGGTGGTGGTGGTTGTGGTGATGGGTGGTGGTGGTGGTTTTGGTGGTGGTGTGGTGGTGGTTTGTGGTGGTGTTGGTGGTGGTGGGTTGTGGTGGTTGTGGTGGTGGGTTGGTGGTGGTGTGGTGGTGGTTTGTGGTTGTGGTGGTGGTGGATTGTGGTGGTGGTGGCGGTGGTTTGTGAAGGTGGTGCTGGTGGTGGTTTTGGTGGTGGGTTCTGGCGGTGGTGGTGTGGTGGTTTGTGGTTTTGGTGGTGGGTTGTGCTGCTGATAGTGGTGGTGGTTGTGGCGTTGGTGGTGGTGGTGTGGTAGATTGTGGTGGTGGTGGTGGTGGTAGTGGTAGTGGTGGTGGTGGTGTTTTGTGTGGTGGTGGTTGTGTGGTGGGTTGGTGGTGGTGGTGGGTTGAGGTGGTGGTGGTGGTGGGTTGAGGTGGTGGTGGTGGGTGGTGGTAATCGTCGCTGCGTCCCCGCCGTCGGCGCTGCTGGCCGCCGCCAGCGCGGACGCCGGCGTCCGCCGGCGCGGGGGGCGCCAGGGGGGGGTTTGGACCCCCCCACCCCACCTCTTGGGCTGCCTTTGGTCATCGTCGCTGCGTCCCCGCCGTCGGCGCTGCTGGCGGCCGCCAGCGCCAGCGACGGCGACGGCGCCGAGTGCTGGGGGGGGGGGCCCACCCCCGGTTCGAAACGCGCCGCCGAATATTTTCCCAAGGCAAGCGCCCGTGAAACGCGCGCGCTCTCTCTCTCTCTCTCTCTCTCTCTCTCTCTCTCTCTCTCTCTCTCTCTTTCTCCTCCCATAACCCTATCACTGGGGGCTTTCGGTTTCAGCGCGTAAGCGGAACAGCTGAAGTTAGCGTGCCGACGCGGCGGTTGCATCGAATTGAACGCGCATCGCATCGAGCGCAGCGCTTGGCACGAGTATGGTGATGTATGCATCGCACGCAACGCTTGGCAGCGTCGGAAGCGGACGCGGTGTGCACAGGCAAGCGCGCGAGCCACCATCGTCGAATTCCCGCAAGGGCCTGCGAGGAAGCACCGTTTTGGAAATAGCTGTTTGGACTTGTTGCAGTATTTTCCAGGTGTCTGCGGCAAGCATCACCGCCGTGCCCTCGCAGTGATCCGCGTGGCGACGCTACGACCATTGCGCAGAAGGCTGGAAAATGTGCCGCATTTCGATTCCATTCTTCGGCGGTGCGCGTCCAAATTTGAGCACGCGCGCCGAGCGTTTTGACGCAGGAGGCTCGGAACTGTCAGCGGTAGTTGGGATTGCGCGTGTAGCTTCGATGACGACGACCACGAGACGACGTCCGGGCGCAGGGGAAGACCCTGGTTTCCGGGCCAAGGTGGTAATCCATCCTCGGCCGATTCGGGCGCAGCGGGCCGAGGTTGGTAACCTTCGCTCGGCCGCATTGGGCGCAGGGAGAAACCCTTTTGTCGAGGCCGCCAGTGGTAACCCATCGGCGGCCGAATCGGGCGCAGGGGGGAACTCTTGCTTCTGGGTCGGGGATGGTAGCCCATCTTCGGTCGAATCGGGCGCAGGGGATAACCCTTGCGCTGCAACGCGCGATCATTAGACAGGATTGGCAATCGGGCTGAATTTCAAAGTACGAAAGTAGTGACAATTGGGCTAACAAAAGTCTAACATGTGGAACATATGAAGTATGTACACGAAATGTTTCCATGTGGCTTTGTTTGTTTAAAGCAGACGCTCGTATGTGTGAAAGAATTCGCTATGTGCGTTGGGTTGTTTCTGGGTGTGTTGTGTTGGCTGATTGTTTTGTGTCGGCTGGGCGAGCATACGACGCATCCATTTCTCTAGCGCAATATGTATCTTGGATTTACGAAGCCCAAAGCAGTCAGCCTGCAGGGGCCCACCCAAAAGAGCCCTCCCAATCCCAGGGCAGGGCTGGGAGGGGGGGGGTCCCTGCCAGGCTGGGCCCTCGGAGTGGTCCACTCGGGCCCTGCCTGGCGGCGCCGGTTGTCTCTCGGCCCAACGCGGGCGCGGGGACGCCGACCCGAGTATTCTGTTTGTAGCCGCACGCAGAAATTTTCTCGCCGCAGCCGCAAGGCACCAAGCCGCGGACGAGGCAACCGAAGGGCACTGCGGGGCCGATGTCGGCACAGGCAGCATTGGGGAAGATCTCGGGAAGGGGCTCGGGAACCGCGGGTAGTGGAGCACGCTCCGAGCACGAAGCTCCTGTGCGTGAGCGCCACGGCACAGGCCTGCGATGGCAGCAAGAGGGCGCAGCTGGCGGAGAGAGTCGGCCGCCGCGACGCGCCAATCTGCTGCCCAAGAAGATGCACCACCACCACCTCCCTCACCACCCCCCCGCCAGGAGAGAGTATCAGTGGAGGGTAGACTAGGGAGAAAGGTCTGGAGATGGTGGTGGTGCATCTATCCCTGGGATCCGCAGCGAAGCAGCAGTGCCCGACCGCAGGCCGTCCAGGTGGGGTGCCTGGTGCTGTTCGTGGGCGGCGTGGCCGCCGCCCTCGGGGGCGAGCTGCGGGGGCGGCCGAGGCTGGCCGACGGGGCGCCTGGGGCAAGCGACGCGGAGCACGCCGCGCTGCGCCGCGTCGTGGAGGCTTTGAGGGAAGACATGCGATGGCTGTGTTCCGATAGGAGGGTGTTTCTGCTAACCTCCGGGCCATCACGCGAGTTATGCCCCCTCCACACTTAAGCAGTACGAATACTATTCTCCTCTCTCCCCTGGTGGCGTCCGGGGATTGTTCGGCCCCCCTCTGCGTACTGTTTTTTTTACGCACAGGATTCCGGGGAGTTGGGTTTTCGCTGGATTTGTTTCAAGATGCTGCTCTCGCTGAAGCGCTTGCCTCATTTTCGGGCTACCGCTCGTTCCGATGCTCCCGCTGCAGCGCTGGCGTCATTTCCGCGTTTCCGTTCGTTCCGAATCGTGCTCCCGCTGCAGCGCTGGCGTCATTATTTCCAGCGCCATGCCACGGCATGGTTTTCGGTCCTTCCAAATAGGCCCCACAATCTAGAAAGTGCTCCCCGAAAACACCATCGGAAGTCATTACTCTTGGCCATGGGCATCTTGTTCTTCCGCCCAGAGGAAAGCAAGATGCAGGCGCGCGCGGGCATGCGCGCCCACCTGCAGGAGTTCCTGGGCGGGCATCCCCAGGCTCAGAGGGGGGTGAGATACCGTTACCGCTGCTCGTCCTGGAGAACTCTCCGTCGCCACGGCTGGATTCTCTTCGGGATCCGGACTAGAACGCACCCCGGGAGAGGTCTAGGGAGTGGCGGTACCTAGTTCTAGGTACCTTTTTTGTTTGACCCCCACCCCCGCAGGCGCGCTACGAGGAGTGGATCGCGGACTTCCACCCGGACAACGTGGTCCCGCCTGGGCGCGACTCGCGCGGGCTGCCGAGCATCGACCGCCGCCACTACCACGAGAGAAGCGACCACCGCATGATCTGGAACGAGCACGTGGGCGACCAGAGGCGCCACGTGTCCCAGTTCAGCCTCTGGCTGGCTGAAGAGGCGGAGCGCGCCGCTGCCCGCGCGGAGCTCGGCTGGGCGTGGCCGGCAGACGACGAGCCGGCCCCAGAGGCGGAGATGGAGGTGCGTGCAGGGCACGACCGACGGTGTGACGCACCCAGACTTGTCCGCGCCGTGAAGAGTTTACGACGGGATCTGCTTGTCGGTTTTCGGCCTCGGGGGGCCCTCGCTGGGCCCTGGGATCGTGAAGGGACGATCCAGGACGAGAAGCTGGCCCTGGGGAACGGGTCGGGACTTCCGCGGACCCCGCGTTGAACAAGTCAAGGCAGTACGCTCGCGCTCCGCCAGGCTCTGGACGATGTAGACAGCACGAAACAGCTGATCCTGGCAGGCGGGCTGCCCGTGTCGGTCTTCAACCAGTGGGCCCAGCTGGAGCGGATGAGGCTCGTGCTGGACGCGGGCGCCCGGCGGCTCTGCATCAGGGGGTCTGAGGACAGAGCCCACCAGGATGACGGCGAGTCGGAAGAGTCCTGGGATGTGGGCAAGATGCGCAGCAGAACGAAGGGCAGAAAATCCGCATGAACACAGTTTCTCGGAGGTCCGCGCGGATATCTAGGATCGGCGCCCGGCCCCCCTGGCGGCGCTTCCGGTGCCGCCCCTGACGCGCTCCGCGCGCCAAGGAGTCGGGCCCAGCGCAGATCCAAGAGATCTGCGCGGACCTCCGAGGAATTATGTTTATGCCTTTTTTGTTTTTCTATCATCACGAAGGGAATCCCGCCCTCGGTCCTGACGTCTCCGCCGTCGCCAGATTGTGCGCTGGCCTTCCAGTTTCGCTTCAGCGATGAGTTCGACGTTGACGAGGACCGTTTCTTGTGCGTATTCTTGGACAGCGCGGACACATCCTTGCTTGTTGCCGAGGCTCTCTCGCAGTTGTGTTCTGTGCCAGTGGTGTTCCCGTGACCGCGGCGCAGCACGGCGAATTGCTGCAAGCGCGCAAGTTTAATATTTTTGCAGATTTATCTTGTGCGAGGGGGACGCCGCTGGTAGAGTTGAACCAGACAGATCATACGTCAGGCAGGAGTATGCCCGTCATTGAACAGAGCCGCGTCGCGCATAGTATCTTGTTCAGCTGTTGCGTCACTTGAGCCCGTCGATGTTTTCCGTCCTGTGCCTCTCACAGCATGGCCGCGGCTTCGTATGTCCAGCTGCCTGCGGCAAGTCCGCCATCGTGTTAGCAGAACATGGTGTGCTGCGACCCTTCGAACACCGCTCTTCTCATGGGGCCCATTTTGGACCGTCTTGCCGCTGTTTTGGGCTCCCGTCGGGCAGTCTGGAGGGTCCCTTAGGGCCCTCTTGGGCTGTCTTAGGGCCACTTGGTCGCCTCCAGGCCCTCTTGGGCCGTCTTGGGGCTCGCATGGCTGCCTGTGGGGTGCATTGGGGCCCTTGTGGCAGCTTTGTGGCATTCTTTGGCCGTGTCTGGGCCGTCGAAGGGCTCTCAGTGGGCTCCACTCGACCTTGAAGGCAGCCTCTGGACTGATCGTCGGCCGAAGAGCGTGGAAAGCAAACCATATTTCACCATTTCAGGGGAATCTATGTGGTTTCGCTTCTGCATGGCCTTTCGGGGGCCTTCTTGGGTGTGCCTTGGGGCCCATTGGATGCCTCGCGTGAGGAGGATCCCTGGCGCGTCTTGAGGCACTGTTGAGCCATCCCTGGGGCCTTGGTGGCTGTCTTGGGAAACTCTCGCACTTCCTTGGGAGAGCACCAGAGACGCGCCGGGCCGCCCGGGAGGCCTCGGGAGAGAGGGCCCGTGCACGCAGGGAAGCGTGAGGGTATGGGAGGGGGTCCGTAGAAGATTCAGAGAAACCCCACGAGACAGCACGTGGCATTCCACCACGTGATCGTTTTTTTATTCATTGTTTTGCCGATCGACGCGGGCCCTCGCACCCCCCTTCCCTCCCCCCTGGAGTAGGTCTTGGCTGTTTTTTGGCGCCTGTTTCGAGCAGGCGGAGTCCCTCCCCCATTGGCCGCACTGTCGCAAACAGTCGCACTAGGCAGAGGTCAGGAGCCAGAGACCCCCCCCCCCTCCCCCCCCCCACCTTCCTCCCAATGCCGAAACGCCGAATCAAAAAAACGCTCACCACGCCTCAGGGTGCCGGCGGGCACTGGTGGTGGATGTTCAGCGTGCTCAGCGGCTCTGCCAGGACTGCTGGCCGAGGGAGCGCTCCCGTGGAGACAAGAGCTGTTGCTTCATTGTCGCGCCCTGATTCGTCTCTCGGAGGTCGATTGGCGAATTGGCCGACTTCGGTTCGCGAGAGGGCGTTGCGGCCGGCATTTTGCGGGTCCAGGTCCGTCGGATTCGGTCCTGTGCCGTTTTCACTAAAGGGAGGTTTACTAAAGGGAGGTTTGCCCACCGCCGAGTCTCAGAACTCGTGCATCGCAAAGGGGCCAGTCAGCTGGGTAATTTACGGGGGCAGCCTATCATTTGATTTTGCGAGGCGTGCTGTGTTGAATTGAGATAAGCAGCACTGAGTCGACAAAGCAGCTCGACGGCAAATGTATCTCCAGGGGAGGATGTCCAGCTGCCTGCGGCAAGTTCCGCCACCGTGCAAGCGCAGAACTCCGTTCGGCGGCGCCCACAGGGCCTGGACATGTGACACGTGTCGTCTCGATTTCTTGAGTGGCTCTCATGAGGCCCGCGATGATGTTGCGCAGTCTTGGGGCTGTCTTGGGCTCCTGTGGACCCGTCCTCTCGTGGGGCACCCATGGGACCCTCTTGGACCGTTTTGGGGCCGTCTTGGCCCCTCTTGATGCCGTCGTGGGCCCCCGCTGGCCGAGTTGGGGGCTCTCCTGGGGGCATGTTGTGCCTCTCTTGGGCTGTCTTGCGGCCCTCTTGCGATCCGCCTGGGCCGTCTGGGGGTCTCCTTGGGCCCTCATTGAGCTCTTCTGGCTTTCTTACGGCTCCTCGAAAGCTTTCTTGGACACGTCACTCTTGCACCACAACCGAACTGCGCCAGTTCACACAGACCGGACTAGCAGGGCGTTGTATGTATTAACAGGAACGAAGCAAGGATACCCCCTTCTGCTTATTGTTTTTTTCAACAGCGTGTCAGACAGCAGCATGAGAATGGCCAAGAGTAAATGGAGTCCCGTACGGCTTCGAGCTAAAACGACACACAAACGACCGGTTCACCAACCTACGTTTAGCGGACGACATCATTTTGCTTACAGGAGCGCTTCACCACACCATCTGCGTGTTACCTGACTTGGTCACAAAGCGGGCAAAGCAGGCTTGGAACTGCACCCGGGCAAGACACATTTCATGAACAATTGGTCAGTTGCTTCCACGGGGCAAACATGCTCCCGAATTCGTGACAGTTCTCGGCATGACGATCGAGGTCCTTACAAGACTACGGAGTACCTTGGACGACAAATCCAGCACAGCACGCCCCACACAATCGAAATCGAATATAGAATTGCCTCAGCATGTCGGAAGTCCCACGCTCTCAAACAGGAGCTATTTGGACTGACATATTCCCAATCAAAACGAGTCCGCCTCTTCAGCGGCATCATCTCGACCATTAGTCTCTACGGTTGTGAAGCATAACGTCCACGGCCGACTTGGGATATCGACTCCAACGGACGCAACGACAGATGCTTCGCATGATTGTACGAATGCCACGGCTCACCTCAACAACCACATGCACATCAATGGGACCACAAGCAAACAGCGCCAGTGCCGATAGTCAGCACGACGACAAACATCACTCCGTCGACGACGACGGATGTGACGTAGACAATGTGCCGCCAGATCCTCCACCAGCTTACCACGACGACGGGGATGCAACAGACGGCTTGGAACCTTCGGTAAATGAATTTGGCGAGCAACGAACACGGCGGAGAAGACCATTGCAAAGGACAAGTACAGTACGCCAGCGAAAACGGCAATGGGCACAGCAATTCCGCAAAATTGAGCAAGAGTGGATACGGCAAGTACTTCAAGGGGCTTCACAATTTGATCCAGCTTGTACCGCCAAACTCAGAGCGGGCAGGCCAAAATCCAGAGTACTTGACGACATACGACGTTTTGCTTGCTACAGCAAGTGGTGTGGCGACATTGGTATTGCAGAGATGTTCACCATTGCGTCGTCGAGGTGTTGGGATAGGATCGGACCTGGGTACGCAGCGCATCCCGAACAAGACATGCACGCCCCGCGTGACCTATCTAGACTTCAGCGCTCCCGTGCCGCACCCGCAGCACCCTAGACGGTGCAAATGAGCGGGAGTGTTCAGCCCAGTGGTCAGATCAGCGCCGGGAGCTTGATCATGCACAAAGCAACTCATGATGTTGGTTTTCTCAATGGTGCCTTTGAAGCCACGTGGGGTCCCTTTGTCGTCTACTGTGGTCTTTTGGGGCCTATTGGATTGGATGCCTCATGAGACAATGTTGGGCCATCTTGGTTGCATTGGTAGCCTTCCTTGGCATTCTTGGGATGCCTTGGAGCGCTGTGGACAGCCCCAGGGGAACGCTGGGCCGCCTAGGGTGCCTCGGGAGTGCGGGGCGATGGGTGCGGCTGAGCGTGACAGGAGGGGGGCCTTGGAAGACCTAGAGATTCCCTAGCAGGCAACATTTTCATTGAACCATGGCCCAACGTGCCTGTGGCACACGGTGGCGGATACCGTGTGGACTTTATAAAGCAGAGGATTGATGATTTTGTTGACAGTGCTCGTCCAAGGACCGGATATCTTGCTGGCAGCTCGAGGCCGCTGCGGGTCAGGACATGATGCGAGCAGCTTGATCCCACGGGGCGAGGACAACTCGCTGCCAGTTTACAAGTGATTTGCGATGGTTCTCAGTGGGAATGGGGCCGAACGGTTTTACACTGTCCTTGGGTGCGTGCCAGTCGTGAGTTTCAGCGGTGCGAATTGTCTCGTTGTTGTTGCTGTTGAATTCGCATTACTAGAGCTTGCACTTACGGGATCTTCCTTCTCTTCTCAGGACTTGATCTTGCCTGTCAGTCTGGCGGCTATGTTGCTGCCGTCACCGTCTCGTTTCCGCCCGTCATTGGGCCTGTATGTCGGTGTGGCGGCTATGTTGTCGCCGTCGCCGCCCCGTCCCCGCTCGCTGCCGCCGTTCGATTGTGTCTCACCTAAAAGAATATTAGGAGCTGATCCCCCCCCCGAATTTGACGGCCCATTTTTTCGTATTGCTCTTTGCATGCGATTCTCCCCCATCGTCCGTATGTAATATGAGCTCATACCATCCCACGCAGGCCGGCATCGCCCCTCCTCACCTTTCGAAGAAAACACTATGCGTGCACATTCTTTTGCCACGAGCCATCAGTTTGCAATGACCCCTTGCAAGAAGAACGGGACGAAGTGGGCACGCGCGCGTCGTCGCGCGCTTGCCGAAAGCCTTCAAATATTTTAGGTGTCGCTGGGGTGTCAAAACCGAGTGTTCCGCGAACGTGTAAAGAGCATTTGGTTTCGCAGCCAGGATTTCAAAAAAAGCTTGCGCTCGCGCGCTTGCGAGCCTTTTAGAAAACCATCGGATTCTCAAAACTTCCATTCAATTCTGCCAGGCGGGCCTCTCGCGCGCTCATGTCGAAGCCGCAAAAACGCCCTTGCGCGCATGTTGTCGCGAGGATATCGTGCCAACAGTGAAACGAAGTGCACACGCGCGCATCGTCGCGCGCGCAAGCTGGAACCCTTCGGCAACCTAAAATGCCGCAGGCGTTTCAATTCAGTGTCCGGAACACATACAAAGCACATGGTTCTGCAACATCAGCTGTCGCAAAAGCCTGCGCTCGCGCTCCTGCGAATTCTTAAGGAAACCGTCGGTTTGTTCTTCAACATGTTCATTCATTTTTTTCAAACGGGCCTCCCGCGCCGAATGCCGAAATGGGCGCGTGTGGGGAGGGGGGGCACGATCCGCGTCAAATAATATAGTGCGCGTCGGCCGCGCGCGCATGTCGAACTATGATTAACGTGTTCATCACCGACGCGGGGACGGCGTCCTCGTCGTCGGCGTGATCAGCATCAGCGCCGTTACTGGCCTTGCCGTCGTCGTTGTCATCATCGTCACCCGCATCGCTACCATCATCGTTATCATCATCATCATCATCATCATAATCATCATCATCATCTCTACCGTCGTCGTCGTTGCCATGATACCGCGCCCGCCAACGTGGCCGACTCGCATTGAAGTTCCCGCTGCGAAGTGCCCAGAGGTCAGTGCCACCGCGGTCGCGTCGGTCGCGCCAAACTAGCTGGCCGTTGCTCGCGCGAGCATGCGCGGGCTAGCGCCGCCGCAGACAAAGGCCAGCCAACACCACACACTCATCGCAATCGCGGCCGCACGGATTTTGTGAAGGTGGGTGGGGTGATTGCGCAAGCACGGGGGTTGACAATGTTAAATCCGGCCGGCTGCGAAACTTAAGCAGCACATAATTTATTTGGACAGCGTTGATTGCCAACATAGATTACACAACATCTGTTGGTTCACCTGAGTTGCACAACATATTGCACCAATTGGGTAATTCAACGTAGGTTGAACCACGCAGGATGCACAACCCAGGGCGCAAAACATATATTGCGCACGACGTATTGCACAACATCATTTGCACCGCTTGTATGGTGTCATGTCGTTAATACGACGAATTCTGCACATGTTTGAGTGTACCGCACAGGTTGCACTACATAGATTGCTTCACACATATTGCACCATATACCATGCACCACACATATTGCGCAACACATGTTGCACCACATATGTTGCATCGCATGGATTACACCACGTACACTGCATCATGTATACCTCTTCACAAATATTGTACAGCATACTTTCTACTACGTCGCTTGCACTACATCCCACAAGTATAGGCAACACATCCTGGATCACATGACATATATTGCAACACGTTCTTGCGTCACAATCATTGCTTCACGCAGATCAAACAATATTGTGTACCATGCGAATTGCACCACATGGGTTGCACCATATAGATGGCACAGCACGCGCTGCACCACATCGATTGAACCACAGACGTGGCAATGCATACATTGCAGTAGATATGTTTTCCACCAGAAATTGCACGACATGTGTTGCACTGCGTATGTTGCGCCACACATACTATCATACATCGATTGCACTACGTAGTTTGGCCTCGCACATATGGTATACCATAGTTTGGCTCACACATATGGATTGTGCAACACTGGCTGTGCACAAACGATGGCAAACTATAGATTGCACAACGCATAGATCTCAGACCACACATTCTACAACATAAACTGCACCACACAGACTGCACCACATAGGTTGCAACACATCGATTGCACACCCTGCGCTGCTCCGCATGGATTGCCCAGCGTTGATTGCACAACATAGATGCTTCTAAAATATTGCACGTCGTATATTGCACAAAATATGTTGCCCGCAACAGATTTTCCTTTCTAAAAAGAGAATAGAGTCTACCCCCCCCCGGCGTTATCGGTCCCCCTTTTCGGGTATGTAAATCACATATGATTCTGACCACATGTCCATCCTAAATATGAATCACAATGTCCCAGGCCAGCCGGTATCCCCCCACCTGAGGTTCCTTTGTAAACAACACTATGCGGTGACATTTTTTGTTCTAACATAGCACTT